CTCCATCCCCACACTGTCAGCCCCTGTGTGACAGTCCTGATCCTCCATCCCCACACTGTCAGCCCCTGTGTGACAGTCCTGATCCTCCATCCCCAGAATGTCAGCCCCAGTGTGACAGTCCTGATCCTCCATCCCCACACTGTCAGCCTCTGTGTGACAGTCCTGATCCTCCCCACACTGTCAGCCCCTGTGTGACAGTCCTGATCCTCCATCCCCACACTGTCAGCCCCAGTGTGACAGTCCTGATCCTCCATCCCCAGAATGTCAGCCCCTGTGTGAGGCTCCTGGACCTCTGTCCCCCAGACTGTAAGCCCCTGTGTGACGGGGCTGGCAGTGCCCCAGCACACCGATAGGTGTGGGGTCCATGGAGCTGTGTGACTCTCTGAGGTGCCCACAGGTGTGGGGGTCCCTGGGAGCTCTCTGGGGACTCCCTCCTGCCCTGGCTCCAGCAGGGCTGAGCCCCTGTGGGCACCCTGGGTGCTCCACATGTCCACCAGTGCACTTACTGCTTGTGTGCAGTGGCTGCCCTCTCCCAGGATGCACAGTGGCAGGTACCCAGGGAGCGTGCCAGTGACCGGGCACGCCGCAGGAAAGGCTAGGATCTCAAATGTGACCACTTGGGTGGAAGAGCCCCCACGTACTCAACGTAGAACTCGGCTCAGTGAGCTCTCATAGAACGCACACAGAGCAGCCACGTAGAACTTACTCGGGGTACTCCATGTAGAACTCAGCGTATGCACATAGAACACACTTGGTTGGCATACACACCTAGAATCCATTCTACTCATGTAGAATTGAGTCAGTGTGCTCACACAGAACTCCGTGTATTCACAGAGCTCAGTGTACTCACACCAAACTGTGTACTCATACCGAGCATGGTGTACTCACATAGAGCTCAGGATACTCACACAGAACATGGTGTACTCACACAGAACTCGGTGTACTCATACAGAACATGGTACTCACACAGAACATGGTATACTCACACAGAACACGGTGTACTCACACAGAACACGGTGTACTCACACAGAACTTGGTGTACTCATACAGAACACGGTGTACTCACACAGAACACGGTGTACTCACACAGAACTCGGTGTACTCATACAGAACATGGTACTCACAGAATTCTGTGTACTCACACAGAACTCGGTGTACTCACACAGAACATGGTA